AATGTTGTATGTCCTTCGTTTTCATACATAAAATGTAAGCAAACACCCTCGTAACTAAGACTCCTTATCAAAGCAGGCTGGGTTTATCTCATTAAAGCAGGCGAGAAAGGGGGAGGAAAAAAAGAAAATCTAGTTCCAAAGGGAAATGAAACAGTTTTGCCCATATTTGCTTTGTTATAACAGCTCAAATTAATTACTCATCTTCCTCAACTCTATTCATTATTCTAGCGGTAAACACATTAGTCAAATGAAATGCCTCTGAGCACACCTGGCTTCCTTATCTTCCATGCACTAGACGGGAGGGTGTTTTTTTTTGCTTTCCAACGTGCTGCAGGCAGAGTATTAAAGAAACCCAGTGCCATTTGTGGGATATGGTGCCTGCCGCCTCGTCTACCGATAGCTGCCTCCCAGGAAGCCTTAATGTATGAGATTTGTCAGTGTCAATTTCCCAGCTAATCTCTCTGGTCCACCTCGCTGCTGTCTCTGCCGCCCATTCATTCTGCACCTCTGTCTCTACCTGCTCACACTATTCCACGTTGGGTTTAAAGGCAAACGGGAAGCCGGCGGATAGGAAATATGCATCAGTGGAAGCTGATCTGCAGCGTGACCCTGCATGTGCATCCAGCAGAGTTGATGAACATCCAAGGAAAACTGAGCTGGCTTTTATGTAAACGTTTTCCTGCCACTTGTCAACAATGGCCCAATGAATACATTTTCACTCATTATAACCCTTTTGACAAGTCATACCAGAACAACTGGGTTAAAATGGACTATCCACCAGTAGTACTTTCCAAAACACTATGATTGAACAAACTGAATATTGTGTTGACTGAACAACAAAGCCTTTTGCTTATTTACTTGTGGCAGAAATAGTGTTGAGCTTGGAGGGAAAGGAACTACTTGAGTCAATATCACCATACGGTGCATTTGAGACTTCCCCATTTCCAAAAAAAAAGTCTGAGATTTTCCATTAAACTTCATATTCATTGTATTAAGTATACGTTATGCTGTTAGAAATGGATGTTGGTCAAGCTCCCACACTTTTTATAAATGAACTGCAAGTACATGTATCCACCCTGTCATGGACAACATTCAAAGAGTAAATATATTGTAATTACATAGTGATTATAAAATGTACATTTTCAGAAAGCTATAGTCCCTTTCTCAACAATATATTTCAGTTAATGGAAAAAGTATTTGGATAATAATGAAATGATGGCAAACTATTTGTACCATGTCCACCCTGTCATGGGAAGGCTTGCTGACAGGGTGGTTACAAATAGTTTGCCATAATTTAATTATTATCCAAATACTTTTTCCATTAACTGAAATATATTGTTGAGAAGCTTTCTGAAAATGTACATGTTATATTATTAATGGAAGGCTTGCTGACAGGGTGGACAATGACAGGGTGGACATTTTTGGCTAATATTAGCATTTAATGAACACATGGTGGACCTTCAGTTAGCAACATGATTCAGTTAGCAAGGTGACTGTGTACTGTTTAACAAATATATTTCGAATTTCTGAAAGGTTTTTCTATTAATTGACATTTCACTATGCCAGAGTGGACATGTTAAGCTTGACAACATCCAACTACACACATAATATGATTAAAATGTCGAAATATAAGTTAAAAAACTTACTTTGCAACTAGCCAATGTCTCATCTGCATTGAGGAAAGACAGTTACCCCTTAATGACAGGGTGGACAGCAAATGTCAGGAACACATGAAACATGTTCAATATTATTATGAAAATAGAATACACATGATGGACAATAGAACCATATCATTATTTGTTAAATGTAGTATAATTTAAGCACTTATTACACACACTGTAGTTAGCAGAGCAGTGTGTGTGACATGCCAAAATCACGTACATCCAATGGTACGTGATCAATAAGGTATAAAATGAAGGAAACACATTTCAAGAGACTTATCATTGTACTGATATGTGTGTAAATGTTTGGCCTTTTATAATAAGACCTCAGAGTTTCATTATTCTGCTACATTTTCATGATAACTGAGAGTTACTTTATAGTGATATTGACCCTCTTGATCGTTTTCTTTAACATTTTTAAGATGAAAAGTGTTTTTACTTGGACATTTTCATTTTCAAATCATTGTTTGCCAACTTGACCGACCGCGAAGTGTGTTGTCTGCATTTGGGAATGTACAGTATTGGGTGATTGGTTTGGATCCCAAAACGGGTCCCTCGACAAAAAGCAATGAGATTTCCCATTGGATTTCTGTATATTGCAGAAAAGAATCATCCCGACCAACACACTTCTTTGACACGCTTTGATCAGATTTTTGAAGGATAAATGCAATTAACTGAAATAAAAAGCTGAAATAACGCTATAAACAAACTACATCACGGTCTCATGGCTGCACATCAACACCACTAATCTAATGTCAGCCTGATGACGTTTAGTCGTTTATTTAGTCACTTGTTAGCAACCGCCATTTTTATGACACATATAAGCCGCGGACATTAACGTTGTTGCTGTCGTATTTTATGTCTTAGAACAAAATGTGAACATATCGTAAGCTTGCGTTAACCACAGATGGTAATTCAGTCTTCTAACCACAAACACTTAAAAAATACCATTGACTTCAGGACGAGGGAACTTGAAGAGCTAAAATGCTATTTTTTCCGTGTTTTAGGACTCATTACTGCATCACTCTATAGAAACATTTCCCAGTGTGGCCAAGAGGTAGGGTGGGTAGACCTGGCAGATCTTTGGGGTGCTCGACCCTGGCCCTTGAATAGCCATCTACTTGTAAAACTGGAGCGGAGAAAAGTGTGATGAGGCTTGCATTGATTTTGACATCTCCAACGATTAAAAAATGACTTTGTAGGCTGTGCTAAAGAATAAGGGAGAGGAGTGGTACTGCTGTATTGTTCCGAAAAATTATTTTACGAAGTTGATGGGTTAGGGTTAGGGTTGGGGTTATTATTATACTTGTGATAATGATGAGACATCATAAGGTGAGGAATAATTAATGCATACAACAAGCTGCAAGTGCTTGTTCCACCCTGAGAGCTGAGAATAAGCTCTGAGCAGTTAACCAGGTTCAGACACACTGACATCAACGCTCTGGGACTCAAACACAAAGGAGGGATAAACTGCTAATCAATACCGAAAGAAAAGTGTTTTGTGCTTAATTTATTGCTCTGTATAGTCAACGTGTTATTTTAACAGTGTCAAAAAGTAACATTACTCATTAGAAAAGGGGAAGTATTTATTTCAGCAGCAGAGTAGGATTTGGCAGACGAAGAGGTGTAATTTGCCTTAAGTTCTGCAGTGAGCAAAATGCTAATTTAGGCTACATTAAGAAAGCCCATGTTCTCTGCTCATTACTGTTGGACGCTGGCACACTGCAAAGCCTCCTGGCCAACAACATTACAGCATCACTTAATTGAAATAATTCTGCAGAAAAAAACTAAAAGAAGACCTTGACTTACATTAGTGTCACACTTCAGAGGATGACATTCAAACGTTACCAATGAGAGATTAGGAGCTGGAGCATCCTCAGAGCTGCAGGTGCTGGAGCAGTTATTTTCAGAATAGAATTAATTTAATTTGATTTTCTCCACATTTCTAATGATTATCACGTCAAACTTATCATGCCAAACTCTCTTGTTTGGCATGTTTCCTGCTGTGTTCTGCCCTACCAGTGGAGGACTGATATCACTGCTTCAGTTTGAGAAAGTATGTGTTACACTTTTGGGAAACTTCCATATTTTAACATATCAAAACAGATGAGTTCTTCAGTGGATTTCAAAGTGGTTGACACATTTCAACCAAATAGGCTCCCCCTTTATTAACATGTTTATGACACTTATTTTTTCTGTGAGTGTGCAGAATAGGTAGGCTAGATGATATAACTGGCAATATATGCAGTTTGCAGTCACTGGTTTAAGTAAATATTATATAGATACTACAATTTGTGTGTGGCTATTCATATGTTGAAAGAACATGTAATGCCTCATGGTTTGCTTTGTCTTTGTAAACTAAAAAGAACCACTTAAAACAGGGGTGGGGAACCTCCGGCCCCCGGGTCGTATACGGACCATTCTTTTGTAACGGTTTAGAGATGTAATTCATCAGCTTACACTAGGACCAATAATTCCCAAAACACTCCTGAACACATATTGTTTATCGCTAATATCTGTAAACCTTCGAGATCTTGGGTAATGGGCAAAACATTTGCTTTCTTGTTGAGTTTGATGAAAACATTGATACTTAGGTCGAATAATATGAAGCAGAGGTCAACCACCCCTGACTTAAAATATCAAAAATAATCCTTTCCCCAGTATTTCTATGAGGCCAAGAAATTGAAAAAATTGTTAGATATAGTATTTTGACCAATCATGCTGGTAAACACCTCATAATGCCAGTCATCAGTCCATTAGCTTAGCTCAGCAACAACTCTGGGAGCAGGGGGAAACATCTGGCCTGCCTCTGTCTTGTTGTCACAGTGAGGTTGCCAACTAGTAGAGAATCCAGGAAATGACTGTTCTCAACACAATAAACAAATGGTGTATAACATGTTAATTAGTGAGGTTTACAGGTGGTGGAAGATGGATTTTGTTAATTTACGACGGAGCCAGGCTAGCTGTCACTTCCTGTTTCCAGTATTTACAGTAAGCTAAGCTTTGCTAGGCTAAACTAACCCATGCTAAGCTAACAGATGTAGCGTTCAGACATGAGAGGTATAAATCTTGTCATCTATCTCTCGGCATGACAGCTAAAATGTGTTTGTCACAATTCCTTTAACATTAAGGTTTGTGATGCCATCAAACAAAGCGTCTCCAGTTCGGCTGCCAACAACAAAAAGATGCATTTGTGCTGGAACAGTGACAAGACACTGCTGAGAAAGAGATAAAGTGTGTGTGTGTGTGTGTGTGTGTGTGTGTGTGTGTGTGTGTGTGTGTGTGTGTGTGTGTGTGTGTGTGTGTGTGTGTGTGTGTGTGTGTGTGTGTGTGTCTCACCTTGACATTAATAATGTATCCGGCTGCATTCCAATAAGATCTGCAGGAACTTGGGCTTCATATGTCCAGACTCACAGCAGTGTGACAGCTACAAAACACAGAGGACACCAACATGAGAAAAGGCTCTGAGATATACGATCTGACATTTTCTTTACAGTAGGAATGACTTCAGTAAATTGAAATATCCTAATGTGTTTTGGGATTATTTGATCAGAAAACAGGGTGACATAGAAAACATCTGTGGGGGTCCAGACTCACGGCAATACGTATGGAAAGAAGCTTTGATACAATTATAATAATGTTTGATAATATAATAATTAGACAAAATGACGTCTTATGACAAATACTTACGTAAATATCATTAGAGTGTTTGACTAATGCACACACAAGAGGTTAATATTCTCAGCATCTTAAAGATTAAATACTGTGAAATAAATGCTTATTATTCTCCGTTCTTTCTTTACTCTTTATGTTTGAATGTCAGAGGTCACGCTTTACAATAAAATCCGGCACCATCTTGATCGTTGAACGTTGTGCAGAAATGACTCTTTGATGGTCATTTCTCTTATCTTCCTTTTTCTTTATGGGTTATTAAAGCCCGAGGTATTCATTATGTCTGACCTGCCAATTTAATTCATTCAACTGAGGACAAATTGTGATTAAAGCAACCTCAATTCATCAGCCATTCATCAAGATTGTACAGTACGTAATGTCCCTTTTCATTAACGCATGGCTGTAATGTGCCGGAAAAAGCCTAAAATCCGTTATGAAAAGCACAGATGTGTTTTATCCTATCATTTACATCTTACTCTGTATGCTACATTGATTTATTCCCCACTAAGCATAAGGCCATCAATTCGCAGCATATGACATTACGGCTCATTCAAAGCTGTCTGGGGAGAAATGATCATTCTTTCGATGATGTCGATGAGTTAAGCCCATAGAACAGATGCACGCCTGATGTTGAATTTAAAGCACAATGAAATATTTCACATCAAAGCGCAACGGGCTCTCCGGAGACAAACTGCTGAAGGTACAGAGCAGCGTTCTGCCGATTCTGGAAATCTTGTATAATACAGAGGATTCAATTAAACAGGGATTTTAATTACACATTGTCCAAGCTGTGTTTCTAATCATCGTCTGAAAATCCTGCCACATTCAGAAGAATAAAACTATTATGTTTGAGTTGTCGTGTGGAAACTCCAGTAAAATGTCATATTAAATCACTCTATTTCCAGTGTATCTTGTAAAAATGCAATATAGGCTTTATATGCCTACACAAATATACTATGACCAGTTCAAATCTACAATGTTTTGCTATTCCTCCTCAACATGATGGGAGACAGGAGCTCTCCTATAAGGCAATTATAACTTATTAATACACGGCTTAGTTGAATACTCTGATTGGTCAATTTGGACAGAGGTTGTTAATTTCATTCATTAACAGACCACTGCTAAGGAGAACAGACCACTGCTAAGGAGAACAGACCGTTGCTAAGGAGAACAGACTGTTGCTAAGGAGGATCAAGGGACTATTTGCAGTCATATCAATCCACAGAAAGAAGTCCGGTAAACTTAAAGTGGACCTATCATGCTATATTTGAATAATATATTGTAGGGCCATACCTATATAAAACATGTCTGTGAAGTTTTTTTTTCAAAATACCAAACAGATCATGCATTTTAGCCTCATATCGCTCTATTTGCTCTATTCCAGCCCTCTCTTCACAAGGGCTGATTCTGTGGCAAATTAGCTGCAGCTGACCACGCCCCCCTGCAAAGGAGGGGGGCGAGGCACGAGCGTCATGTTACCATGCTGTTACCATGCTGTTACCATGCCACGCAACCTTCCCCTGATAGTTGGCCATATAGGCGGAGCACCCCGTTTCTGACGTCAGAACAATTTCAAATCTGCATCAGTCTGGATCAGCTCCTTTGCAGCCCCGTTTTTAGAGATTTGGGTATGGAGGAAAAGAGAGAGGGTTTTATTTTCTGACACTTGGTGAGTTCCCTGACACCAGGGGACACATATTCATGTATAAAAGACGTACAAAGGTGCATTTTGCATGATAGGTCCCCTTTAACTAGCTAACTGTGGACAACAAACACTAGTTTTCTCCATCAGGAAACATTTTTGAATATTCTTTTTTATATTTTGTGGAGAGCACGCAACTTTGTCTTCATGTTGGTTGAAAAAAGTCTGTGCAAAGGACTTTATTTTGTGTGTGACTTTTAGAAAAAACTCCAGCCTTAATTTTAATTATAACCTCACAAATGGCCTGCATCGCTCCAGGGAAGTTTATTTAATTTTTGAAAGTTTTCACACAACAAAATTAATTTAAACACTTTTTTCTCCCACCCACAACCAAAATTAAAATCTAAAAGTGTTAGGCTAGAACATAATGCGCTAATGAGTGCATATTAAAAATGATATATTTCCAATTGCGTATGCTGCAACGTTATTTTCCCTCCATTGTTGAGATGGTCATAAAAACATTGCAGCTTTGTGGTGTACATTATCATATAATAATGCCACTAAACTGCAGTGGGAATCATTTTTAATGAGCAAAACAACAGCTTTCTAGTAAAGTCCTGAGCAACGTCCAAACTAATGTAACAATAAGACTGGACTGCAGTAATAAACCAAACGCAGGCCCTAATGGCCGACCCTGGAAACTTGATTATGCAGTTTGTGTAACCCATTATAGCAGCACTGACAGTAAAAGCCATCATAGCGACAAAAACCTCAGCATAATGACTCAGTGACTGTGAAACAACATGTAAACTGAATGTGTGAGACGCAGACAAAAACACTCATGAATCATTTCAGTTCCAATCCATTTTCACGCACGGTGGATAAATTAACATTCAGCTCGGAAAAGGTCACTTTATACCTTTTCAAGCTGAGCTGTTTTTCACTTTCTGTCATGTAAAAGCAAATATCTGTGAAGGTGTTTAGGAAATATTTGATAAAAAGTCTCGCCATGTATTTATTGCGGGTGTTTATCTCCTGACAACACGTATATGACAATTCCATACATAGCTAACACACTGTAAACCTGCCAGCGATTAGCATAATAAAGGCAGAAACATTAACACAGCATGCTTCCGCCTCGTGCTTAATTCCCATTCACTCAAAAATGGGAGAAAATATGATCAGTGTTGTCGTAAACACAAGTACAAATCCCCGCTGTTATGGCAGCCATACTGAGAGACTTCTGATGTTTCCATTCCATTGATTTCCAGCAGCAGTGTGCAATGCCTGTTTGTGCAACAATACAGACACAAATGAATTAAGATCCATCCTTCCTGGCTGAGATTATTTATCTCCCTATACTCAAGCTGTCTGAACTTGGGAAACACAGCTCCAAGTTATTCATTGCTATTCCCATATCCGTCGCCCACAGTGTCTTCTGTGCGTGTTTTAGTAAAATATCAGTCTTATACAACAGCTAATAAATAACGTGTTTAGCCTACTTTGGTGTACAGATGCAGAGTGAACCACTGTAATGCAATGCATGCCTACAGCTGTAACCCCACTGCTAATCCTTCTGCAGAAAATCAATTTCTCACATCGGCTTCAGCTGCCCTCAGGAAGGCAAATCACAAAACTAGTCAAACCAGCGATCAGAATCAAGAAGACTGGAATCAGACGGAGGAGAGTACAATCAAGTCGCTGCCAAAATGAGAGCATGCCATTTTTACTCTCATCAGGCTTTTTAAAAAGGCAAATATTACATAATTAGGACGAGTAAGATGAACCAAAGGCCAAATGGAGTTAACATAGCTGGAGATAATGAAAGGATTAGGGGTGATTCACTTACTGAAGGTAATGGCATTTGAAATGAAAAAATAGGAATTCATTCGGGAATATGACTGACAGCTGAATATCCTGGAGTTAAACAGCACAGACTGACTCTGCTTGTGATGAATAAAGTCATTTGAACAACTGGTATAGAAAATATTTATGAAAAATATTTAATTTGAAATAAAATAGTGATCCTGACAGTGCTTTTAGAAATATCAAAGAAAGAATACAGTAAACACAAATAACAAAATATGAAACTCAAAAAATAAATGTATATACAAAAATTAAAAACGATATATTAAAAAAAGGAAATAAACTTATATTGATGGATGAATTAATTTGAACAACAGATATAGAACAGATTTCAGAGTAGAAAATGTATTTAGTTAAATATTATAGCAATCCTGACAGTGCTTTGAAACTTACCAAACAATAAATAAAAAACAATAAATACAAATAAGAACATATGAAAAGCAAAGAAGATAAAAATGAAATATAAAAGTGTGATCGATACAGCTAGAACAGAATTTAGAATAAAACATTTTTCTCTATTAGTTTGAATAACAATAGCAATCTGACAGTGCTTTCAAACCAAATAACCAAATATCAAAAATGAAAAAAAAATAGTCAAACTGTAAAATAACAAAAAACTTAAAAGTGTCAAATATCCAGGTGTGAAAAAGTAGAAAAAGAGCACCTTTTGGAAAAGAGCGAGCAGATGAGCACTGACCCAATCTGACCCACTTCTCCCTGATTTATGGTTTATGGTCCCTCAGCAGACACAGCTTTGTTCTGGGGGGTCATAAATCTCCTACACCTCAGAGCCCATCAGCTGACCCGCCCGTCTCCCTCCCTCCCCTACAGTCCCGTCCGCACAGCTCTCAACACAAAGCAGAAATCACCGAGCCACAAGCAGGGCAGTTAATCACCGCCGGCAGACAATAGTATGACATAGAGCCAAAGCCGGGCCCGGCAGGAGATTCACGCAATCGCTAAAGCACTCAAACGGGACAGCCGGGGTTTACCTGTTTGGTAACCTCTAGTCTCAGCAGGGGGAGAGTTTCTTAATTCCTGAAAAGTGAAATGAAGTTCTCACAGCTAAGCTATAGTGGGAGTGCAGCAGGTAAGGATTCGTCATGATGTGAGGACGCCACAAACTGTACACAATGTATGCATCGAGCCATGTGAAAATAATTTAATCTGGGAGTTATTATGAGACGCATAAATACAAGACTCTGGGGAAGTTGGAGACGTAAACATTGCACTCTGCCTGAATATGT